ATGTATTTCATACAAAACTCATGATAGACTTTTTCAGTGACATATCATTAAGTGAACGTTATCAGGTAATTACAATTATTTAGAAATAAAAAAACTAAAATTAAAAATAAATACTAATAACCAATATATAAAAAAATATGTCTAGAAATAAGACGAAATAGTTGTGAATGACTAAGATTGATTTTTAAATATCGAGATTAAATAAGTTCTTAAATTTAACTTACTATCGTTATTTATGCATTTTATTAGTAGTGATAAGATGATTTAACCATAGTCAATTATGTAAAAAAAAAAAAAAAAAACATAAAAACATAATAAGTCAATATATGATGATGTATTTTACTTACTTTTTAGTAATATAATTTTAATGTCAAGGACCTGTTAGTATACTATAAAATATGTTAAAAGCTGTTTATTTTCTTGGTTTTCATAATTATTTTATACATTAAATTTCAACAATGCTTTTTCTTTGGAGTTACATTTTAAGAATTTTCCAATGACCTTTATACTATAAGAAAATATATGTAAACATTTATTTAAAATAAATCCTCTTGTTTTAAGTTAAGCATTAGATACCTAAAGTAGTTTCAAATTTTAAATTCATTTTTATATAATTTTTATTACGTAAATTCCACAAATATGAAAATATAATTGTGTAAACTCAAACTAATTAGTATTTACTAACGCGAGTAATAATTTTTATACTATGTTATATTTAAAGTATGAACATCTTTTCATATATTATAGTTTCTTTCAGAAGTCAAAGTTTATTTTCTTAAATTTTTAAAGAAAATTTATTCCATATAAAACTCATAATAGAGTTTTTCAGTAACATATCATAAACATGTAAGTGAACATTCATGTAAAAAAAAGTTTAGCTGGGTATGAGAAACTTAATTTACTTTTGATTTTCAAATTGGTGAACTTTTCATTATAGATGTCAAGTTAATTAAGAAATATTTAAAAATAATGAAATAAAATTAAAGATAAATACTCATATATAAAAAATATGTCTAGAAATAAGAAAAAATAGTTGTCAATGACTATGATTGATTATAAATATTGAGGTTAAAATTCTTACATTTTATTTATTATCGTTATTTATGCATTTTATTAGTGTAAGTGACAACATAATTTAACCATATTCAATTACGTAAAAGAAAAAGAAACATAAAAATATAATAAGTAAATAAATAAATGATAATGTATATTACTTACTTTAGGTAATATAATTTTAATGTCAATGACGTGTTAGTGTTCTAGAAAATATGTTAAAATTTGTATTTGTTTTTTTTTTTTGTTTACCGTGATTATTTCATACATTAAATTTCAACAATGTTTTTTTTTAAGTTACATTACAAGAGTTTTTCAATCATCATAAAAAACTAAGTAATCACATAAAAATGACTATGCATTTTTAAATTGAGGGCTCCACGTTTAGTGTATTTTTAATCTTTAGATGTAATAATTAGCCTTATTATATACTCCCTCCGTTTTATGTTAGATGTCGTTTTGGGTGGTTGCGAGCATATTAAGAAACTCAATAAATATGCATAGATTATACCAAAAATAACATAGTATGCTAAAATACCCTTGTCACTAATTATTTTTCAATTAACTAATTAAGAGTGATAAGGGGCAAAATTGATAACATGCAATAATGCTTTATTGGAACTCTAAAATGACAAATAATTTGGGAAAAAAACACACCAAGGAAAGACAATAATATGAGACAGAGGAAATACTTAATAATTAATCTTATTGTTTACTTAAGTAAATTTTATAAATATTATACTGTAACTAAATATCAATATTAATAAATTAATTTATGAAAATAAAGAAAAAAATTAAGTAATAGACGTGGATGATTAAAACTATTTTAAATTTTGAGGTCAAAGAAAGAAAGTAAATACAAGGGTGTACGTATAATTAGAGCGAAGGGAGATCAATATAGTTTAATCAACATTTGGTCAGGGGTAAAAATATAATTAAAATAAAAAAGTAAATGATCAAATGAGTTAAGTCTTAGCTACTATCCAAATTCAAGGGAGATATGTATAATTTTTTACATTAGAGGCAATTTAGCTGTAAGTACACCAAATATCAGTGCCCTAATGTAGTAAATTTACACTTTCTTTAAGGAAATTGTTGGTAAATTTGACCAGAGTGATCATAACCTACTAGTAACACGACTAAGACTTAATTGTTTCAAACAATAATTATGCTGAGAAATTCAATATAATGAAAATTATCAACTTTTATAGCAAAATAAGAGAAATTTTAATGTGAGCATTTTCCATGAATGAATTAATATATAACAATTTATTTTAGTTGTTTTCTTGTGATTTTATTTCATCATACGTTTTGATACATAAGTAAAACATGAAGTTTTGTACTTAATGTTATTTAAAAATATGTATAATATAGTATGTAATTTTTATTAATTAATCATAAGTTATATATTAAATAAAATCATACGTAATCACGTGCAACGTAGGTGGTGCTAGCTAGTTTGATAAGAAGTGACAAATTTTAAAATAGATGATGGGTGTAGACCTCATCACACACACACACACACACACATATACACACACACACACACACACATATATATATATATATATATATATATATATATATATATATATATATATATATATATATATATATATAAAACAATATTTTTTGGAAGAAAGTTCGTACAATACACATTAAATGCAAAATACTTAAAGGGCGTTTGGTTAAGCTTATAAGATGTTAAAATGAACTTATAAGATGTTTTAGAGCTTATAAGCTCTTCCAAAGTGTTTGGTAATTTTTGTAAACAAGAACTTAGAGGGTGTTTAGCTAAGCTTATAAGATGTTAAAAAGAGCTGATAAGATGATTTAGAGCTTATAAACTCTTCCAAAGTGTTTGGTAATTTTTTTTAAAAAGATCTTAAGTTTTTTTTAAATAAGTTGTTGGAGAGCAAATAAGATCTTTTTAAAAAAGTACCTCTACCCCACCTTTTTATTTAAGATCTTATAATGAGTAAAAATAGGAAATAAGCTCATTATCCAAACACTCTAAAAATTAATCCTAAAAATAAGATGTAACAGCTTATCAGCTCTTAAAACATCTTATCAGACGTTAGAGCTTATCAGTTGTTTAAAATAAGTTTAGCCAAACATTCTCTTAATTTTTTTTAAAATAAGCTGTTGGAGAGCAAATAAGATCTTTTTAAATAAGTATCTTTGCTCATCTTTTTATTTAAGATCTTATAATGAGTAAAAATAGAAAATAAGCTTATTATCCAAACACTCTAAAAATTAATTCTAAAAATGAGTTGTAACAGTTTATCAGCTCTTAAAACATCTTATCAGACATAAGAGCTTATTAGCTGTTTAAAATAAGTTTAGCCAAACACCCTCTAAATGTAGCATTTTTTAATCGTACGGAAGAGGCAACCATTGTGAGCTTTCAGACAATTGAGCAAACAATTTCCGCATTTTAAGGATCAAAGAATCCTAACATGTAATGATATCGAAGTTTGGAAATATGATAGCCACAACAATATTCGGTCTCAATTGATTGGTACCTTTCAATGAAAATGACTTGTTTCACAGTCACAGGTTATACAATTAAACCTTTATGCCGGACCAATATAATTTTATTAAGTTAGAGAAATATTAAATTATCAAAGTAATAATTTAATATATTTTCATTGAGTCGGGATCGAAAAAAATTCTTATTTACCCGAGGTTATAAATTTATCGAAGTTCGACTTTATTATTCTTAGTTTTTTTTTTCTGCTCTTTTATTTGCCCCGCTTCAACACCCAATACATTAGTTATTCAAAAAAAAAACTGTTAGGGTTTATATTTTTGTTAATTTTGATTTTTTGAAATAATTTTATTTCATCAATCACACTTATACATAATTAGAATATGATTTTTTTGTACTTATTTGATTTAATTTAATTTTTATGTGTTTGTAATACATAGTTAGAACGTGATATTTTGTACCTATTTGATTTATTTTTTGTTTTAATATATAACTAAAATATGTAACTTTCATTAATTAAAATTGTAACTTTATGTATTAAGTAAAATCATACATAATTACGAGCAACCTATGGTGCTTGCTAGTATTTATAAATAATCAATTTGATTATCTTTCAATGTATTAAAAACCAAGTTTAAGTATTAAAACTCAAGTTATATCTCAGATCAAAAGGAGATTAAAATTTCATCAGATTCATAATATAATTAGAATGCATAGAAAACACAATACAGTTCTATACATGAATTGTGAATATGTTCCCGAGTCCCTGAGAATCCATAACATGAATTAAATTTCATTGCCATTCCCTTCGACTATAAATATATATTTTCATTCAGACCCCTTGTGTTTGAAAAATATTACATAAACCACTGTTAAAGTTTAATTTCAACTCAAAGTTCAAGTTAAAATAAATTTTATAGAAAAGAAAATTATTAATCTTCAAATATGTTGTTAAATACTAAAATGATGTTAGTTTTCACCGCAAATCGTTTTGTTCTCACCTTCACTTTCAACTATTTCCACTGCTCAATTTTGTTATCGTAATTTTTTTTGCTCTCGATAACTTCCATTGCAATTAAAACCCGGATCTACAGTTATTTCATCTTGCACAAATACATATGAGTGTGATAAGAATGACGCAATTGTTTTTGCTCTCGTTCTCGTATTTCATTGCTAATGAATATTACGATTTTTGACATCATTAAAACAATGCGAACCGGGAATGTGCACTCCTACGAGGATAAAAGTGCAGTCGGGATCTGCAAGACAGTAGCGGTTTATATTGTGGGACAATTTAGGAGCGGTTCAGTAGTCATAGGACGAACCAGGGTAGTATTATTCTATCATAATCCCTAATTACAAACAAACAAACAAACAAACAAAAAAGGCAGTAATTTTTCGCTTATATCTACAATTTCTTAGAATTCATATCAAATTGGAACGACTGTTAGCAAAATTTAAACTTCAAAGGAGGTTTGAGTATTTTAGTGAAGCTGAAGCTGAAGATGTATTATATAGAGTTTGGGGTTGAAGTTTTAACCTAAATCAAACATCCTTTACAAAGTTTCTGTAATTTTCCAAATTCGAGGGGGTTTAGATGTAATTATACCCAGTAGGTGTAATTTACTCAAAATATATGCCTTACCTGCTGGAGATAGAACTGTACTTGCATATAAATCCAACAAAACGAAATTCTCGAATACCGAGTCCAAAAGAAAATACCCATCAATGTTTTATGCCATATCTAATACGCAAATCACGAAGGATTTCACCATAGTCTGCAGTCCCTTTGATGAACACTTCATCCCAAATCTTGGAAACATCTGTTTCAAATCAAATCCAACAATATCAAATGCTGTTAAGTATTCATTTAAAAAAAAAAAAAAAAAAAAAAAAAAACTAAAAGCTTTTCTACCCACGGTAGAAGCTCGATAAATTAATAACCTCACTTAAATAATATTTTTTTCCGGTCCCGACTCGATAAAAATGTATTAAATTATTAGTTCGATAATTTAATATTTCGCTAAATTAATAGAATTTTACTAGTCCCGACTGTATTAATTTATAGAGGTTTAACTGTACTCTATGATTTTTATAACTAGTGCAATAGAAAAGAGTACAAATGGATGACACCATTTATTTATGTAGACATACCAGACTTATCGGCAGATGAAAGGCACATGATAATCATGTCGAATCTTGGAATTTTGGTCAGATTCTGCAAGTAATCAACAGCTAATGCCATATCTTCCCTGTCAAATAAAGATACGATTAATATTGCCTTCAAACGAAGAAGAAAGGTTCGACACCCTTTGTGTTGTATGGAATAGTGACTTACACAAAAAAGGTGGCGATGCACCTAATGATATCTACGAGTATTGGAGCCGACAGTGCGTTTTTAAATATCCCAGGTAATGCTGCTGGTGATGTTACCTGATTAATGGATAACACACACAGATTTAGTCGAGTGCAAAAGTAAAGTACATATGTTTTTATTCCTAAGTCATAAATCATTATACAAGTGTTGATGCAATTTAAAGAATCATTTGACTGTGTGACAGATGAATATAACATAAAGAGTCCAAAATCAGTGATAAATTATGACCTGTAATAAGCGAGTTTGTAAGTTACGGTCATTAGAAAGTCCTCGCCAGGAAACCTCGAATTGATAAGCTGAATTTGGAGGAACAATGTTTTTAGCAGCTTCGGCTTTCGCAAGATTAGCTGCTTTTGCAGCAAGCTCTTGCACGGATGCTTTCAGCTGCTGCTTGCCATTTTTGGGTTTCGTCTGTGACAACTTTGAACATGAAGCAAATCAGTAAGAAACTCATCATAAAGTTTTAGGATTTTCTTTTTTCTTTTTTTTTTCCCCAAAATGTATTACCCTAACAATTAATCAATTATCATCAAAGCAAGAACTCATCATCAAACCTTTGCAGTCTCTGAGTCAGTGATAACATCAGATCCGTTACTTCTTACACTGTTTTGTTTGATTTCCATGGATGTATCTGCCGTGACTTCTCTTGACTTATTGCCCTGACAAAATAAAACAAAGTAAATATAATAATATAAGCACTCATCCAGCATCCGAAGAGTTATGCAAGAACAGACCAGGTACAGGTTCGGTTCCACATGAAAGTACAATCCTCTAAGACGCCTAACAGGAACCTACCGGCAAAATGGCTTTTTCCTGGTTTGGTTGGGGAGATTAGCCATGATTAACTAAATAATTGGACTTTGTTTAATGTTTGGTATACCGAAGAACTTCTCGGGTCGACCCGGAAATATTATGTTATCATGCATTATCTTGCCTTTTATTGACCTTTTTTATAGGACCTTCCATGGTCCAATAATACAATTGGGTTTCACTAGACTATGTAATCTTATCTTGGCTAATCCTATTTTGGCAACCAAACGAGGTCTAAAACGATTATTAAAGCGATATAATTATAACTAAGAGTGGTCTTACCTTGGGATTTTCTTCAAGAATCTCAGTCACTCTTCCAGATAGTGGTTTCTGCACATTATTGTTCTTATCCACCTCCGATTTTCCTGGTTGTGCTCCTTCCACAGAGCCAGTCAATGCTCCAGATACCTTCTTCAGAATCGCCTGAAATTGCACAAGCAATAGAAAGTAAATATTCATTGAATAGGGAAAAGAAAGAGTGTCAAACTAAATTGCTCAGAAATTTGGTTGTACAAAGAAACACGATTTTGTTGTCTAATGCATTGGAAAAAGCTTGGAAAGTGAAGGATCCATGAAGATAGGCCAAGTAATTATGTCGTCTAAGATACTACCTTTTTCAGTCTTAGAACCTTTAGAATTGAAAAGGCAGTTCCATCTTAAGAGAGTTCGTTAAATCTTTGGAGTTAATCCAGCACTATTCTCAAGGTATCAACTAATTAACGAACTCTGGGCCTGTATTTGGATACAACCATAATCCCAATTCCCGGTTTAACTAATTTCAAGTGACTTCATGTTTCATCTTGTTTATATAGCATATAACGTATTTTGAGGCATTTTGCATCCTAATATTGCAGACGGAAAGACTAATTAAATGTAGCTGCACTAATAAGTGCTAATTAAATGTAGCTGTTCTCTATAATCGTACGCTGCGGAGGCACGGGAACACGAAAATGACGAAACCTGAAAACTATATGGTACTATAAATTGTAAAATTATATGTTATTATTCATTTATAAACTTATAAAAAATCATATAAAATTGTTCAAATAAATATTACTATTAATGTGCAAGTGATCATCAAATCTTATCTTTTATAATTAACAACTATGTTTGCGGATTTGCTACTGTAATGCTTCTCTGTTTTTTTCAGAAATGACTAAAATGGCCAAAAAAAGTTTCCGAAAGGTGTGCCTAAATTTTCTATCCGAAATGCGGAAATGTTATGAAGCTGCCATTTCCATGCAACATAGCTATAATCCTATCAAGGCAAGATTATCATGAAACCTTCGACTTTACAATATGCATTCAGCACAATTACAAACTTTATAAAGATGCTGACAAAACTTCAAGCACTATGAGGAGAAACTAATTTGCTCAATGAATCGAGAGCTATCAGCTTATCAAAATATATATACCTTATATCCGAGCCTGGAAAGCATGCACAATATGAAATAGCCAACACATCGATGACAAAATTAAAATAAAATTCAAGCCAGAGAAATTAAAACGATACCTTCTCAAGCAAAGATTTGGATTCCGCAAATTGCTTCTTGATCTCTTGGTTTTGTGGCTCCAATCTCAAAGCAAACTCAGCATCTGCGTTTAACTACAAAAAGTTAAGTCAACATATATTGGCTATGCGATCGAAAAGATCATTCAGTTCAACAAATGAAGATTCTACCATCCATCGATTCTTTGAGTTTGCCGAGTTCTTTTCTTGCGGTTGATCGACGAGAATATGCTTTTATATACCGGTCATCTAAATTCAAAGCTTCTGTACAATCATTTTCAGCTTCCTGGAATCTATTACCAGATCAAAACATAATGCAAATAAAACCTGTTAACAGCCATTTTCTTCAACAGAATTAAGAAATACACCGAGCATATGCTAAAAAATCACCTCCTAATTTTGATGTATGCCATTGCTCTGTTTGCATAAGCTACTGCAGATGGCGATAACGCAATGCTTCGTGAATAGCAATCTATTGCTTCAGTAAATTTCTTCTGCTTGAAAAACTCATTACCCTAGAAAACGAAATAGGAAGGAAGATAAAGATTAACAGAAGTCGGTTACCGGTATACTATGGGAATGATTAACCGTGAAAATATAATTTGTCAAATGGAAGCATACCAACTCTTTCTCAGAATTAGCATCAACAAAGCTCTCTGTAGAAGGGACTGCACTTGATAATCGACTGAGTGCCTCGTATTCTTTCAAATGGTCATACTGTTTGACAGTACTTGGATTCTCATAAGACGGAGTTTTTTCCATTGTCTGTTTTCGATGAACTTTAGCACTATCATAAGGCCGACCAACGTTATTTCCACTTGGCTGGCCTAGTTGATCCTTCTAAAGAAAATCAAGATCGAACATTAAGAATACAATTTTTTAAACCGTATGTTATGTTCCTAGACTAGTTGGTCTAGCGAAAAATATCTATTGAAGCGTGGCTGTGAGATAAGCTTCCATTAGAACTCGAGCAGAATGTCTACACGATCATCACTGTAATCTCATTGATCTTCGTTTACAAATAGCCTTCTCCATTGTATTAGAGATCAAAAAAAGACCGTAATAAATAGTTTTGAACGTTAATTTCAGCTGATTAAAGAGGCATTGAGGAATAAATTCATGACTGATATTAGGTTTCCGAGATAACTAAGCATTTCAAGTGCACATTACAGTAATAGAGCTCAAGCTATGACGTTAACTAATTCAACAAAACAACGGGAAGGATAAACAAAATTCGACATAGTTTACTCAACAAAATATAAGGGTAATCACCAAAAAAAAAACGAAAATGAAAAGTACAGTTCTGTAGTCAAATCAATTTTTCATTCTAAACCAGATCAAAATGGTAAATCCCAAATATATATATATATATATATATATATATATATATATATATATATATATATATATATAAAGCTAAGAAACAATGTTACAGTGCCAGTAAAGAATCTTAAACAAGAAACGAAATCAGGTGAATATATTTACCAGCTTGGCCTTGCCGACAGCATCTGATCTCATTTTCTTATCTTTTTCTTTAAAAGACAATTCCCAGTCCTGTAAGTTATTCAAAAGCCCCTCCAATTCCTGGTTAACCAAATAACCCGAGAAAGAATAAAAAAAAACAAGAACATATTCGGGAAAACCAAACATAAACTATTTCCCAGTGACTACAACAAGAACCATCCAAAGTCACCCATTCAACAAATTAATATATGAAAATAACAAACATCTGATTGTTGTATTCATTACATACATCTTCAGCATCATTCAAATACATTCTATGCATTCACCGTCTATAACGCCATTTATCAAATTTATCACTTCCGGAACTAAAAACTCATTGAATTCGCAAAAGCAAATGCCCTACTAAATTAAAAATGCACATGGTATAATGAAATAGAGGATTCTTTACCAAAACTTAACGTGTATGAATAATTCTTTTAAAAAAAAAGGTATGAATTGAACAGAAGAATTGTTTATTCGTGAATTTCCAGTTCTTCCGAACTTAAAGATTGGAAACATTTGAATGTGGCCAGAAAGTAAAAGAACACTTTCGAGAAAATCAAGAGAAGAAAAAAAAAATTAGGAAAAAGAAAATTGGGGAAATTTGTACCTGAGGTAGATCGCGAGAGTGCTTAGAGGGGGTTTTAGCCATTGTTGGTCGGAAGTTCGAAGCAGTAGAAACTAGAGAGGTTTTTGCAGTGGTTTTAGACGTTTTGGTGGTGGTGTTTCTCTTCTGTTCAATCTCCAGAGCTTTCGTCTTTTATTTTTACTGCCTTTTCTTTTTCCTTTTTTTTTTTGCCCCATTTAATTTCAAAACGCTGTCGTTTCTTTTTCCCCCACCAATCAACGCCTCTCTTCATTTTCTTTTCCATTTACTTTTCAAGTTTATTCAGCTCATTGCCAAACGACGTCGTTCCGTTCTCTTTTACTCTGCTCATTGCTAGAACGCCGCCGTCACATATCGCCCACAACTGTTGACCTCCGCCACCCGCCTCGCCCGGCGTCCGCCACCGCTTCGCCCGGCGTCCGCCACCGCTTCGCCCGATTCCCCTATCACGTGGCGCCGCTTTTTTCCTCCAGTAGTATGCCTACAGCCACTTCCCTTTTTCCTCCTACTTCCGTACGTGCGTTGTCCTCCTCCTGCCACTGCTGCAGAAATATTTACCTTCCCATCTCTATCTGTTAATCCTCAGAACTGAGGTTCATTGAAATGAATACGATGTTTTCTTCCTCACCCATTTCTGATTTCTTATTTAATTTCGATTAAACCTGTTCTCCGGCGATTGTCCAGCGGCGATTGTCCAGGTGTTCCAGTGACTTGCTTCAAAACTCGGCCAATCCTCGCACCGCCACTGCTACTCCGTTCGGGGTCGGCATCCGTTTCGACGCCGCAGCTCCAATTTTTTCTTCCAACACTTTTTCTCCTCAAGAACCTTTTAAGTCAATTTTTCTTCCAGAGTTGCCATGGGAGCGAGGTCAGTTTTATTAGCGTCTTTGTTTTCCAGTGGTTTATTCATCGGGATTCTTTGATTTTCAGGTTCAGTGGAGGATTTCCTGGCGGCGGCGATGGATGCTGCTAAGAGTGCTGGGAGGTGCTCTTCGGCAATTTTTTCAGGACATAATTAGATCAGCTTTCGCCCACATTTCACTGTTTTTATTACTATTTTTATTTAATTTTTTGGTTTTGGGTATACAAGTAATTCGTTATGGGTTTTACGAGACGAAAAACGTGGAGCACAAAGGCGAGGTAAAATATTAGCTTATTTTGATTTACTGATTTCTGTATAATATCATTTCGTATTCATAGGTTTAAACATTTTGTGTTACCCTCAATTTATGAACAAGAGGTATATCTTCAGTAATATGTAATAGATTTGTTTACTGTTACGTAAATCGTAATTAATTGGTATCTGTTTCGTAAATCGTATTACTCTAAAAACATTTGGGACTGTGCTATTTATGCTCACTGTTACGCGCAGCTTTCCGATTGTCGACTTCGGTAATGCTTCGATTGCTTCTTCGGGTTTTGGAAATTTGTTCTGATGAATGATGATGTTAGGAGTTTATATATTGGGAAGCGTTTGTTTGTTTTTAATTTTTTTATATGCTGATGTGTGTCGATCGTTCCGTGTAGGTAGATTTGGTCACAGAGACTGAGAAGAAATGCGAAGAACTCATTTTCGATTTTCTCAAACTACAGTTTTGGATTTCTCGGTACCGTTTATTTTTTTTCCACTTGGATGCTCGCTATAGTGAACTCCATATCTCGACGTTAGTCTTTTGTTTCATGTTAGTTCATTGGCGAAGAAACTACTGCTGCTTTTGGCACCACATAATTGACCGACGAACCGACTTGGATTGTCGATCTGCTATATGGAACTACTAATTTTGTTCACGGGTTCGTATCTTTATTATTATTAGTATCTTGTATTTAATCGAATTGCCTACTGCCTCTGATGTATTTCCACTTATGTTCTATTGTGAGCATTTATTTTATTTTTCTCATGCTACATCAAGTAAGGCTTCTATTTCCCTGATTTTCCTGATATTTGCAAGGTTGCTGCCGAGACATTCCTAGATATCCTCCATCGTATGTCCTGATCTTATTTATTATGTTTTGATTCTTTATTGATGAATACTATTGGTTCATTTTTATTATCTTCTTCTTACAGTTTGTCCGTGTTATTATACGCCTCTGTCCTTTCTTTTCTTTTCCCTTCTTTTCACGGGGTGTATGATCGACCTGTTTGCTTCTTCTTTTCTCTTTTCTTTTATTCTCGATTTTCTTTTTCTTCTCTTGCTTCTTCGTCCTCACTCGTCGCCCACAATTGCTGAATTGCCGTTGAATATTTATCGATTTTGCTTACAATTTTGGTTCTTCTCTGTGGGTGCCAGTTCCCGGGTCTGAATTGGATTTCCTACAATCTTTATCGAATCATTGAAGTGCGATGTCTATCCGTTCTTGTTTTGTTTGGTAATGATGCAGCTATTTTTATGTGCCTATTTCGAGTTGCAAACTTGTTTTCCTGATATCTATCGGTGTTTACGCATATCTAAACACTTTATTTTTGGCACAGATTAAAAAGCATGGCTTCGGAAAGGTTTATGGCCAGTATGAAGGAGGTTGGAGAGTTGCATCTCTTCTCTCACATCCTGTTTGTTAGACTATGCCTGTGAGCTACTTATTTTCCTTTATTCCCTCACACTCTGTTCTTTATTTGTTACTCAAGTCTGATGTAAGTCAAATTGTATTTTTATGCTTGCATTTTACCTTCCAAGATACCTAATTGATCTGAAATTTGAAATTATATTTTCATGTGTTTTGGTATATGATTTTAAAAGAAAATGCATTCCGACATCTCAATCAGGATTCTGTGTGAAGCAACTAATTAAGGAACCGGATGTTACTATATGAAACCTTTAGCCGCCTTCATTAATTATTTAGAAATAGCATTTCATGTTTTCGCTTTATGATTGTTTAAAAGAACAATAGATTGCAACATTTAATTTGTTATTAGCACCAACCGTTGTCTTGAAAAACTCCATTAGTTTTCCTATCTTGTTAGTTTCTGATCTTGGTTTATGCACCATTTATCTTACTCTATAGCTACAACTTATTTATGATTCTTTCTTCTCAATCAGTTTACGTGGATCCATCACCGGAGAAGAAGAGGGTGTACAGCATATATTCTTATCCCTCTGTACATATACGTTCACTTCGACATATATATGTTATACGTCCTCCTTTAATTCTTTAAAATATTTTCACTCATTAATTGCATATCTCCTGCTCTTATCTTCGCCAGCAAAACTTTAGCTACCGCTCATTTTTCATTAGTTTTTAGTTTGTGGATTTACTGATTTGTTTTGTTCGTTATTTTTTTTGGCGTTTATTAAACTTATCTATTTCGTATTTCGAATTTTTGTACACCATGGATCGGTGCAAAATCTGGAGAGGCCAAAGGTAGATACACCAACTAATGAGAATGACTCTGCTTCAGATATTCGTTCCCCTATAAGTGCTTCGTGCCATGTTATATCACGGAAGGAAGAAATCATTTCGTTACCTCTTGTTATCAAATTTTGTTCAGTAAATGCACTCGTCTTATGTTAGTTCAATGGTTTTGTTATTTTGCAGTGCATCTATGTGTTATGTCAGTTGGGGACAAACCTCCCCAACATTTTTAGGCCAAGCTATGGTGTGTTGCTGCGTCAACGAATTTCCCGGCATCTCACTTTTTGTTTATGAAGAATAAGGTAACAGTCCAGGAGCTGCTCTTTCTTAATTAAGAACTTCCTCAGAAGATGCAAAGGTGCGTGCTTGCGTTTTTCGAATTATGTTGTACATTGTTTTTGTACTATATTGGGAATTTTCTCAACTTATAATTATCTCAGCTTTACCAGTGTTGCCTTTTAAACCTATCAAACTTCAATTACCAAATTTTGTGAATTTGTTTTACCATGTAGTAGCAGTAGCAACTCTGATTCGACTGCTGCTGCTCTTGTGCTTTGTGGTTGCCAGTTGACATTCTTTTCGATGCTCTCAGCACGGGGGCAGGTTCCAGTCTGAATCGTTGAATCTGAATCAGCGCCGTTAATGTATAAGGTCCGGGTGGGTATGCTTATTTCTTTTAAGTGTTCTTATATTTAAATTGTTTATGATTTTTTTTTTCTCCCTGCAGCACACCTACCATGAGGTTTTTGGGAAATATGCCTATTAATTATGTTGTTTTTCGATGATTCTGAAATTTCCTTTAATTGTTTTTTAATAACTTCCGGCACTGATGTGTGTCCTTCACTAAGAAGCACGAGTATGTTATGTGGGCTTCTAAAAATGAGTTTATATCCTTTTCCAAACTATTAGTTTTCCCTGTGTCTTCCACTATTACAGTTTTATTGTTTAATTATATCTACAACCATTTTTTCATCACTTATTCACAGTTATTGCGATACTAATTTGTAAGGACAATACTGTAAAAATGATAACAATAGTAGCGGTGTTTAGCTGTCGTACTAATGTTACTAATGATGATGATAACGATAAAAAATAAAATTGTTTTTAAATACTAATAGTAATAATGATAACGATGATAATAGTATTTGTGCCTGCACTGGTTTCTCCTCCATATTTGCACTGCTTTCTTTTCTTTTCTTTTCTGTTCTCTTTTCTCTTCTCTTTTTCTCTTTTCTTACGGATCGTCTTTTTTTTTTTTTTCTTTTCATTTTTCTCTTCCCTACGTGCCTCCAAAAAGGCGCCTCTTCACAACCTTCGTCTTCATTCATTAGCTCTTCTCTTCCTACGCTGTTTTTGTTCACCTCCGTCCCCGTTTAACATTTGTTGTTTCCTTTTTTTTCCTTCTCCCTCTGCCAGCGCAGCGTCGATTGCTTTAGCAGATTTCTTCTCCGATACTATTGTTGACAATCTTTGGGGCTGCTGCGTTTCGTTCGTGGCGCTTAAATTTCCTAATTTTAGCCTCCTCATTGAAGCCTCTGCCTGTAATTAATGCATGTCGTATGAATTACAGGTAGCAGTTCTACATTTGTACAAGTTCCGAGGTTGTTTGTTGCGGTTATGTCTTTTCATAAGTGTTCTATTTGGTATATCTGTCGCCAATAATTCTGCTCATTTAGATGCGTATGGGTTTTACTTTCATTTTATGAGTGCAGTTCATGAAAGCAATTAATCGATGCATGTTTATTTGCTACTTGTGTACTATAGATGAAGGTTACAATTTATTTGTCTTTACCTTTTTTGTTAGTCATAGATTGTCACTTCAGTTTTGGTTCTTAGAGTTCTTCGGTATCTTTATTGAAATTTTGGACTCGTTTGCAGTTAAGCTTTGGATAGTTGTAATGCTAATCTTTTATTATTCAATCAGACAGCGACAACATATACATGGGAGTAAATTTAGTGTCCTAACCTGTGACAGTAACCAAGGGGTTATCCAAGAATCGGAAAAAGGTTGAATCTTGAAACCGGATTGAATGCCAAGAGCAAAGATCAAAGCTTGTTTAGAAAATCCAGGAAATCCATATAGGTACTACCTACCCACTTGAATTTCTGCGCTGTGAAATTCAAGAGCAAAATAGCAGCACAACTCGCCCATGAGTTTGGACGGCCGGAGAAGAGGACGAGAGCAAAGATCAGCACAGAGCTGTCATATATGGGTTTTCTGCATTTTCTGAACTAGCTTTCATCTTTTCTCTTCGCATTCAACCAGTTCCAAGATTCAACATTTTCCGATTCTTGGATAACCCTTTGGTTGCTGTCACAGGTTAGGACACTAAATTTACTTATTTTACTGATTCTTTCAACTTTCTTTCATTAATTGGAAAACTCATGTTAAACCCTCGTTAAGCGTACTGATTCTAATTACGTATCTATCTTGTCTGTGCTTTTTTCTTTTGTTTTCGTTTAGGGTTTTTGTAGTTCTGATTCTAATTTGGTGGGTTAGTTTCAGATTTGCAAATTGCGCCGTAAAAGGGGCTTCAAGACTGTGTTTATTAGAGGAGGGTCTGGTGGTTCTGTTAATTCCGGGCCTAGCCCGTTGATCATAATGTTTTTCTTTTTCTATTAATACCAATTTTCAAATTACCTGGTCAATAACAGGTTGTAGATTTTAACCAGAATGATGCTCATGTTCACCACTTCAATGGTAGCAGCAAGCACT